GAGCGCGCAGCAGAACACTACTAGCCGTAGCTATATATACTACACGAATATTAGCAGCAGCACTAAACTAATACCTATAGGAGGCAGGCGTGGTTAATATCTAATAATAGCGTATTAGGTGCAGGTAAGGAAGGTATAGCAGTAAATAAGGTAGCTACAGGCCTAATTTTTAGTTAGGGACGAGAACTTTAAGCCCGGACGTATATATTAGCGCAGATCCTATACAGTTATATATAGATCCTAGGCAGGTATAGTTATATTATAAGTTAGGCTATAGTTATAATAGTTTAGCAGGTGGTTAGGGTAATTAGCAACTGTAGCAACTGTGGCAGCGAGGCGAAAAGGGGGTAGAAATTGCACCCAGCAACCTATAAGTAGCACTTATCGCCGCCTATTAAATATTAAGTAAAAGTTAATTCTAAAGGCAGACTAAGTGTTTAAAATAGCTAAATCTAGTACTAAAAGCAGGTATTTTAAGCATTTAGCCGAATTCTAATTAGCTATTTATAAGGAGTATAGGTATAGCGTATAGCTAGACTAGATTAAAGGCTATTTATAAAAGATCTACAAGGTACCGCGCAAAGAGGCCGATTTAATTAGAGAAGGTATGCGTAAATAGCCCGGAGTTATCCAGTATCCGAGTAAGTTTAAAATACTAGACAGTATTATAGCGCTAGTTAGCTAGTTGCTGTTATATTCGGATAGATTATTATATTAACTAGAACCAGGCCGTTGCTGTTATATATCGCGGAGTATTAGGGCGATAAAAAAGTATTAGCAAAAGATTTATAGGTGGTTAGCAGGAAGGAAGCCAGGACGGCTAAGTTAATTAGGAGAAAAAAGGGTGCAGGCACGCATTAAAAAGGCATTTAAACACGTCTATTACCAGCGGTTTTTTGTATAAGGCTATAGATTATAGTATTTTAAAGTGCGACAACCTAGGCAAGGCTAGGAAGCTAGGCCAGAACCTGTTCCTATTAACGGCAAGATTATATAGGTATAGTTAGGAAAAAAAATAGTAGAGGCGTAGGTAAATATAGAAAAGTAAGTCTAAATAACTATCTAGGCTAGTAAAAAAAACGAGGTAAACCTATAGTTGGAGCGGACGCAGTAGTTGCTATATTTAGTAGGTATAGAGAGGCCGGATTTATTAGCATATATTAAGGAGCTAAACGCAGACCTAAAGCAGGAGGAGGAACCTGTTAAAGCCGCAATTTAGGAGGCTATAAACGGGTTAGCGCAGTTTAGCCAGGCGTTAGTTATTAATCGAGTCGGCGTATTTATGCGGTTAGAGGCAATTTAAACAGAAAAGCACTAAACGCGGTACCAGCCGTTGCAGCCGTATATAGACGAGAAGTCGATTAGCGAACATACTTAGCCGTGGAAGCAGATATTAATGTTTTTTGCCCGTACGCAGCGCGAGCATAAGTAGGAGAGCCCTAAGTACCGGTTTACGCGGCGGTAGTAAAAGGCGTAGGAGGCGTTAATTAAGCAGGCCGAGCGAGAGGTGGAGGGAGAGGATAAGACAGAAGAAAAGGAAAAGGATAAGATAGAAAAAAAGAAGGATAAAATAGAAATTAATAAAATAGATAGCGATAAGGAGCAGGGAACAGGAGATAGCAGGCCTAAAAACGCCAGCAGTAAGCTAGAAGGGTTAACAGGCATCTAGAAGGCGTGTTTACAGTTTTATATTAAGTTGCTAAACTAATCTATTACCTATAAGGAGTATAACAGCCTGTTAGTATATATATTAGCGGTATTAGGTGTTAAAAAGGACGGCTAGAAGGGCCCCGAGTTGTATCCGCCTATTTTATTAGCCGTTATTAAGGTCACCCGTTTTATAGTGGTTTAGCAAGCGTTAGAGTTATTAGAGCCGTTTTAAGATAGCGAGTTCAACAGCAATAGTGCGTACGAGAGCGATAACAGCAGCACGCCGTCCCGGCAGCGGCGGAAAAGATGTTTATAGTTTGTTTAAAAGATAATAGATAAGTTTATAGTCCGAGGGAGCTACAGGCTAATATAGTAGATGTTAGATTTACGGATATACGGGTTAAAAATCTATTATAACAGCATATTAAAAGGCTATATTAAATAGATAGGCTATAACAAGTTGTTGTATAAGGGGTTGTATTTTAATATAGCCTAGTTCCGCAGTATAGTACACGGGTTAGTTACAGAAAGCTAACGGTTATTATTAAAAAAGCTGTTGTTTTTTAATAGCGGGATTTTAGCATATATATATACTAAAATCCCGCTACCTAGCAAATAGAACAAGATAACTAATTAAGTGCCCGTAATCCTATAGAGTGAATTGCGGGACAATCTAATAAACAAGCGACCGGGATGGAATTTTTTAAAGGACTATTAAACGCGGTTGCCCGTTAATAAAGAGACATAGTTGTTTAATCGTGTCGGACGCGATTCTATAACCCGAGGAAGGTTTTTAAAGGCAGAATACCGCTTAGGTATTAATTAACAAGGAGTTAAGCAGTATATATCACGCGTAATCGAATTCTAAGAAAAGTTAATTATATTAATATATATATTAGGAGGGCAGCTAGTACAAGAACCTAAGGTTTTAAGCGTTCGGCATAGTAATATAGTAAAGGGCGGGCATTATAATATATTTATCGAGGACAGTATAGTAGTATTTATAACGCGATACTATAAGGGTTATATAGTTAGTAGTAATATTAAGATTATCTATTAATATATACCGCGTAAGGTGGGGGAGTTATTAGTATAGTATTTATAGTTAGTATTGCTGTTCCAGCAGCAATTAAAGGCGATAGTATGGGAAAAAAAGGCAATATTATCGCATTTATAGCCGGCCGACCCAAGCGGGCGTAAGTAGACATCGGAACAGTTGCAACAGGCGTTAAAGCGCAAAAGCAGGGTCAGGTTAGAGCAGAAGCTAACTATTTAGTTATACCGTAAAATTACTATTAGTATTAGCAGAAGGTTTATACGCAGTTTAACAGCATTTAGGGCAGAGGATAATAATAATAATAAAGAGTAGAATAAGGAGAATATAGCAGCAGCAATTACAGACGAGCAGGCCGGGCATACATCGCACGTTGCCGGGTTAGTATATACGCGAGCAATTATAGAGCAGGCAGAAGCGGTGGCCGATAAAAGGCAGCAGTTCCGGGTATTAAGTATAGATTAGCATCGGTTTTTAGGATATTAGTCGGCCGTTAATAATAAGTTTATATTAAAGAAGCGGAAGCGGGCTCTATTTAAAAGCAAAGCAGATAAAGGTTAAAAAAATTAATAGGCGCGGTTAAGAAAAATAGATATAGTAGTATAGTTAAAGCGGATAATAGGTATAGAGGCGGTGTTCTAAGGCGTGCAGGAGAATATAATCGCGACAATTACGGCAGGCGAGAGCCCGGTGGTAGCAGTAATACCAACTAGTGCAGGAAAGAGCTTATTATTTATATTGCTAGCATAGGCAGAGCAGGGTGGAATAATAGTAGTTGTAGTGCCGTTAATTGCATTATAAGGGGATATAAAGCGGCGATATAAAAAGCTGGGTATTTTATATAAGGAATAGGAAGAACAGCACCCTCTAGATGCGGCAGCCGTTGTATTAGTAACGCCGGAATCCGCCGTTAGTAAGGGATTTATAATATTTTTAAATCGATTAAAGGCAACGCGGCAGCTGGATCGGATTATTATTAACAAGTGTTATATTGTTTTAAACCGTTGATATATATTCCGGAAGTAGATATAGTAGTTAGGTAAGCTAGTAGCGGCCGAGACGTAGATAGTATTATTAACCGCAACGTTGCCGCCGATAGAGAAAGGGGAATTATATTAAAGAATATATTTCTAGAGGGAGTAGGTAAAGATGTTTAGGGTAAGGACGGCACGAGTAAATATAGCGTATTATATAGTTTAAGTAGATAGAAAAGGAAGATAGAAAATAGAGGAAGCGGTTTTAGGAATAATTTAAAGGAAAATTTAGAGGATTTAAACTGGGAAGGTAGTAGTATATAGTAGCACGGTTGGAAAAGTAAAAAGGATAGCGCAGGCGTTGGATTGCAGCGCGTATTACTATAATATAGTAGGTAAAGCAAGTATATTAAGCGAGTTTATAGACGGCAAGCAACGGGTAATTATAGTAATAAGCGCGTTGGGTATAGAGGTAGATATACCGGATATTCGGTGCATTATATATATAGATTGGCCGCGAATATTATTAGATTATATATAGGAGAGTAGCAGGGCGGGGTAGAATAAATTGCGGAGCGAGGTAATTATAGTTAAAAAAGGGGGTAAAAGAAGAGGTAAAGAAAATAGGTAAATAGAAAAAGAGCGGCGGTTAGTAGGGTTATATATAGAAGGGGAAGGTAAGGTAGAAAAATATAGAAGAATTGTATTAGACGGGTATTTAAACGGGTAAGGGGATAGAAATAGGTGTAAGAAAGGCGAAGAGTTATATAATATTTGCGGCGGAGTAGAAGAGGAGGTGGAAGAGGTGGAAAAGGAAATAGAAAAGGCTAAGGAAAAGGTTAAAAAAGAGGTGGGCGGGTAAGCAGTGCAGGAGAAGAATAATAAAGTTATATAAGAGGAGATATAGCGCGAGTTCTAGTAATAGAAGTAGGAGAAACGGGGCCCGCAGCAGGATTTAATTCGGGGTAGATAATAAGAGTTTATAGAGGTGGAATAGTTGCGGCAGCAGTTATAGCAGTAGGCAGGGTAATACGGAGTATATAAAGCAGCGGGTTTAGAGCGGAGCAATTATAATTTGCGGTAGTATTAGAGGTAAGAAAGTTAATAGGTAAAGGAAATAGTAAAGATATTAAAGGGGAGGATTAAGTTTAAGGTATTTTCGGGTTGTTTTTAGTATAGGGTACTATAAAAGATTTGCAATTAATAGGAGAGTAATAAACAGGGTAAGTATTAAAAGGTTTAAGGCGGGTGTTGCTAGTATATAGGTGTAGTAATAGCCGGGTTTATTAGGTTAATATTTAGGTATAAAACGGAGGTTTAGGAGCGTTAGAGGCGCCGGATAGGGGAGATAAAAGTGGATATAGATTCGGATAAGGAGTTAGTTAGTTATTTAGGAGGGAAACAGCAGTTAGAGGTAGTGGAAAGTAATAATTTAGTAGGAGAGTTTTATTAGATTACTAGGTTAATAGTAGAGTAGGTAGAATAGTAGAGAGATGTATATTTTTAAGGAAAAAAATAATATATAATAAATATAATATAAAAATTAAATAGGATAGGATTAGTTTAAAAGGTGTATTATATTATTTAGAGGTTATAAAAAGATAAATTAGGTAAAAATAATTCCAAATTAAAAGAAATATAATATAGTTTATAGTATAATAATAGAAGTATAGTAAAAAGGTAAAATTATAATATAATATAGTAGTAGAAATATAGTAAAAAGATAAAAGTATAAATATAAGTAAATATTATATTATTAGGGTAAGAAAGTAAAAGTAGATATAAATTAGGTAAATAAATATTAATAATTAGAAAAGAAAAATATTAGTATTATAAAATTCCAATAAAAAAA